CATGATAGTTAATTGAAGTAATCATTATTAATCGTAAGTTCTGTTCTCATTGAACAGAGTATTTTCGTTCAGGTCTTTCTTTAAGAAAGTACAGACCAAGATCAAAAGTGGTGCAGACCTACGAAATGAGGAAAGAACCTTACGATTTACAAAAATGACAGAAATCTTCGACTGGAATAAAAAAATAAAAGGAATGGGCATCAAACTAAACAATGCAAGGCCGCTAATGCTTGTCAATTAAGGGGGATTTTTGTGAACTAATAGTTTGATCTACACTTTGGAGAGTGAGGTGAGTAAGGCGTGACACGTCATTAGTTCGGATATCCTCAATGAGTTGAGATGTGAACGCTGTTGGCGTCGTTTTAATTACGAACGAAGAGAGTTTTCCTGCTTGAACGTTTTTGGAGGAAACACTCTCACCTGTGACGCAATCACAGAAATCTGAATTCTTACTTTAATAAGGCATCACAATCAACACGCCTTCAACGTGCAAGTGTTGCCAAGCACGAAATCATTTTAGGTTAACTTGTCCAAGTACAAATGATTAGGATCCACAATGACACGCATCCTGCATGTCTTTGATCTCTTATTTACTACGTTGATTAAATTATGATCTCGGAGTCGTCAGTTTGCCTCGTGTTACATGAGTGTTTCCCGTCGCCCTGAATGAAAGGCCGTGTCAAGGCACGGTATACCGTCTTATAAACGGGTTAGGCGGGATCCGGTTGGGCACGATGTGAAGCCAACTTGCTGGCATCGTCATAGTACATCGACCCCAAGCAATCCACCCTTTGCGACTAATTGTCCTCTATTAGGGAAACCGTCCAAACAGTCAACAAGCAAATACTCCCGATTGACTAACGAAGTACCCCGTCGTTGTCGTCTATTGCCAATGCCCACGGGACTTATGGCGAAAGAGTTGCAATGTATCTAATTCTATTGTGAGAATGCGATTTACTTTGTCATATCCTGAGGACTATAACCTTTCATAAGGCGGTGTTCTACTTTGGTATTCTAGCTTATGTTGGATCAGTCGAGCCGAAAAAAACCTTGCCGTCTAACGTTTGAAGCCTCACTGGTTAATCGCGTTATATACTTTATAATGAACTTGAACAGTCACATGCCGGAATGTCATTTGTCAGAAGAAAAAAAAAATAAGAGACAAAAGTAAACGAACAATTCGCTTTCTAAATTGTTCTTATTAGTGAAGGATGAAATGGGTTTAAAGAAAAGACGCCGTAAGCTGATATCTTTTAGAAATTAGGACGAGCATTTTGACTCATCTTTTCCTCTGACTGGACTTGTATCTGTCAAAGAGTACACGCACTTCTGGTGGATCGCAATGACAATTATAAAACTCACCTCAAGTACAGCCCCGCAGTCATACTTCTTGCCTGAGTCGGAAAAAATATCGTCACCTTTTCAAAAATCACTCACTACGTTCCAAACAAACTTTAATTCGGTAAGTTTGATTTTCAGGAATCTTGATATAGAGAGAATATAACTCATATATGCACACAATATTTCCAGAAGCAATTTTCATTATCTTCTAAACGGAGTTTTTTTTCTTGTACCGGAAACGATATGATGCCATCGAAAGAGCACTCAGGGGCCGTTTTCCAATACTCAACTTCGGCTCAGGCTTCAACTGTTTTTTTTCTGCAACCTGACTTTGAATCTGTAATCGCACTGATTAGTCCAATAGTGCCACAACACATCATATAAGATGCAAGAGAGCAAAAACTTACAGTAATCCAATTTGATTTAAACGCTTCAGGCCCACAATTGGGGATTGGTTTCAGGGACGAAGCCTGAGACGGAGACGAAGTTGAGTACTGGAAAACGGCCTAGATTCCTTCTGTATTATTTGACTACCCATGATATAAGATTAAGAAGTAAAGCTGTGTGAAATCATCTGAATGTGTTAAGAGATGAAACCATGGAGGGATTTCACGTTAGCGCCGTCTGCGTATATCCGTATCGAAACCGAGGCTCTCCCGAGGCGCGCCCCCGGAGTCGACACAATACATGCAGTATCCGCTTCGTAAGTGTGACGCTACTTCAGTTTAAACCACGCCCACTGCACATGCAGGTACACGACCATCTCAGGTGCGTTAGTTCGCAGTAAATTGCCGTTATTTTTTTCTTTTGATTTGACGTGTGGAGTCATCCTGAAAGACTCTTCCACAAAAATGTGCAGCCTGAAAAGTCTGAATTTAACATACAGTTATGCATTTGGTGTCTTGACTCCTTACTTTCAATCGTTAGATCGTATTAAGAATTGAAGCTGACACATACAGCCTCGTTTTCAAACGCGGAAGTGCGCAGATCGACGCTAAAAGCGTCGTATTGGCATCCCTCTATCAAACGCATTTAAATGTACACCACAATTTGAATGTTGAACTTGTTCTTCAAAGTCAGCACTTTCTTTGGGTTAGAACAATAACCTCACTTAGAGTTTGCACAGCACGTGAGCAAGGTGCGACCCCCACGCCGTAAGAAACCGCGCCTCTGACCCTGACCCAAACTGAACTCAACAACCACAATACATCTCGAAGATGATCTAGCTCCAATCTTCCGCTCCGGAAAAAAATAAAACAAAACGTTGCTGTACCGCCTGGGGTGCGCGCGGCCGGCATCCCCCACGGGGCCCAGCGGCGCGATTCACCCCCTGACTACCGAAGAAAGATATCCTCATTGCTCCACGCTGTTCGTAGATCAGGCCCCTTCTGTCTCGACACCATGGGAAATCGAGAATCTCGAGTGTCCTTTTTCTCTCCCTCTACTACCACCAGCTTGTTTTCTCCGCCGTCCTCGACAAGCCCACCGGCTGAACTCGATGACGGACGCGGGAGAATTCAAGCCAGGTTCTTAGGATCACTCGCTTCCGACTGAGGTCATCCCTGCCCTCGCAGCCCGGAGGGGATCCGATTTTTTTTTCTTCCTCTTGACGAAACCTCTAAATTCGAAAGTTCAACTTCAAGTACGGAGGGTCTCGGTGGAGAGGGATTTTACGGGTGATGTCGGAGCGAATGCTAGACAAATTTGACTTAATCCGGCAGCTCACTGTAACAGCGCCGCTGACATGGAGACAATTTATAAGGCTCGAGCGGCTACCGCCGAAGATCTGTTATACATGGAGGAACATTTCGAAAGTTCATGTTGACGATGGGCTTGATATTCGTAATAGCAATGCCATGTGTGACGTTTGGATGAAGGATGTGACATTCACTTTTATTTTTATCTCGCTGACAAAAGTGCCAGATTACCCAAACAGACGCCAATCCTTAAAAAGTACCGTCACAACAGGCAGACCCTATCTGCCCAAGAACGGGCCTTGGGACACCCAGAGTGACGAGTTCTTTATCACATGTACTGGGTAGTTTCATGGGACTATTATCATTGTCGGAGGAGGGCAGCAGATATGAAGTAGCTGGTTTTTTTATGTTATTATACATAATAAGACCCTGCCAATGACAATACAAACCACTTAGTGCTGATTTTATGACGTCATGGTTGTATGGCAGCTGAGATAAGCCTTTCGCATGTTAATTTTGAATAAACTCTGGCACACTGAGTTCTTTTAATTCAGGTGTACATAACGTTTTGAATTTGCCATACTACAGACTTTTGCTTAGTATACAAGAGACTCCTTACATCAATACTGCTTTCAATGGACAAGCACAAAAGGAACCAGTCCATGCCAGAGGTGGTGGTCGCTATGCCAACGCTTGCTCCGAATTACAAGGTATAGCAACAGTGTCTTTAGTCCGGGGAATTTAAGTTGCTATGTTTATGTGCAGTGAATCAATTCAGTGGATCGGATTTTATTCAATTTAACTCGCAAAAGGTTTATTTATCTAGTTAATTTAATACTTGATGATTGTTACTGTTTGGCAACGTAACAGTTGAAAGCAAAACACAGGTCGTAATGCACGCACGTACGATGTTTATGAAGTAGGGAGGCGAAATGTACAGACCCATCTTTGAACGCATGTATACCCAACATGCATTTTCTGTGGATACAAGTTTGAGAAAAACGGGTCTCGACCCCGAATGACGGGAACAAGAGTCAACGTACCACCTACCCCTGCAAGTGACCGTATAAAAATGTTCGTAATCTTCAGTACTATAGCTTCACGTCTTCTGCAAAATCTTAGGCATTCTCAGAACACTTTGGGGGTATTCTGGGAAATTACAGAGCAATATGAGAAATGATCCCGCATGGGAAAAAAATATTCACTTTAGTAAAAGTGCATTTACAGCTGCTTTTAATGCATCCATGAAATATACGCCAGTCTCTTTTTTGAAAAAAAAACCACATAACAACAATAGCCTCCCCCAAAAAACCCGCATTTAGTAACTTCACTTGACGTATTTGTCGTTTTTTGTCGTAAATATCGTCATCTTCATACCGCTAGTCTTCCGGTTGTCTGTCAACATGCATGTTCTGTCCATGGTACATGAGCACACTGTTTGTCTCACGTCTTGAAGCAACAGCTTGACAGAGAGGTATGGTTCCTCGAGGCAACTGGCGCTGAACGGAATTCCAGGTATGCGTGATAGATCGCGATAAACTTAAGGGAACCCGACGAAAATGTCACCCCACTGTATAGAACCTTTCAGACGGATTTTATAGAACCTTAGGGTTTAAATTTGAAAGATTCTGTAAGGTTTTAACACTGCATCATATTAAAGGAAATAGATTTGGAAGAATAAGCCAAATATTTTTTTTCCATGGAAAAGGATCGCCTTGTTGTCAACCTACCACCTGATATCCTGCCACAAGTAGTGATCCATCCTATGTAATTGTTTGGGGGTACCTGGTCAGCCAGAGACGCGTAAGAGAGATACACTCGAGAATTACAAAGCTGACTACCTATTATACACATAACAAATGTGGCCAGTTGCCGCCATTGTAATCAAGTGCTTTCCAAATCCAAAATTCCGACGAAGTCACATTTTGCATACTTCCTGGACCATAATGTTGACTGACCTACCTGCAACGTGCAGAGCGTAACGTCAGCGCCAGTTAGTTCTCAGGCCCACGAGCTGTAAACAAGCACCTTGCTTCCAGAACCGTTCCAGAAGTATGCTCGGAGTTTTACGAGCACGCCAGGTCTGAATTCTCTCCTGAACTGAGCAGTTTTCTCAACAGTTCAGCACACCGCCTCCGTGATATGTGACAAGGGAGTACCCCCCTCGAACCTATGCCTTCAGTATCCACACCATAAAAGTTCGTCCGAAGGCGCTCGCATGCCTCTCACAAAATGAGAGGGGGGCAGGGAAGTGGCTGGCCAGGTGCGCTCCTTACATCACAAGTCTGTCATTGTCACCCTGAGTGGGAGAAAGAGAATTGAAAAAAGCACGACGGCGAAATGAGATTGACAAGCCAGCGCGTACCGGAGTCGGTTTGTTGCGTGACACGCTCTTGCGCCCGCCGATAAACAACTCCGAGATTCTTCCGTGCTTGCCCGTCAGACGTGTTCCTTCCCCGAACTTGATGGAGTGGGCAGTGTCACGCCTGATAGTCTGGCACAGAGAAAATCGATGCCCCTCGCGAGTTCAAAACAGCGGGACGCAGTTTGGACCCCAGGTTTTGGATCCCAGTTCAAATTGCGCCGAAGGAAAAGGTGGACCGGGGTTGCTCTGCGAGTTGGTGGTGAACTTTTAAAGTTGGTAAATGATTCGGTAATGCATTATGTTGGTGTCCCGGCTGCCCATCCATCATATGCAGCGATTACCGAGACTATAGGCATTGCTTGGAAATACTTTGTGTGGGCTAGCAAAGATCTCCTGTTGAAATTCCTGATTCCACCTCCATCCTGTTGATGCTGAATGGCCACACTTTGAGCCAGTTGCATACTACGACAGGCAGACAAAGGAACGAAAAAGGCCTTCCAGGTGTAAACATTTTAAAGTATCAGAGAAACATTTGAGAAGAAAGCTGACGCGTGGAAAGACATTCCACTGCAAAGGAGCGTCGGAAAAGAACATTTCAATAATCACTCTATCCCTCGACAGTTTTAAAAAGACCGTCCACTTTGCTGTGTTTGTTGGATAACACGCCCCTTCACTTCATTCGTTCAAAGCTTAACTAAGCTTCAAAAAAAATGAACGAACATGCTGTGGCCGTCAATTGATCTAAACTTCAGTTCAAAATAAATGGAAGGTGCCCATTTTCAACTTTAGTGATTATTACGTAGTAACATAGTTGACTCTTAAGAAAGACAACAGAAAAAATCATTTTTTTTAGACCAATCCGATTGGACGCCGTAACTACAGTGGCACTGCACTAACATGCACATTCTTCAGCTTGACGCGCGTGCACTTGGCAAATCAAGACACCCTATTGGTCGAAGAGTTATGTAACGCGCGCGTATCACCTGTCCACGAGCGTTGTGTCGTCGCAGTAATAGCTTCTAATTCTGGTTGTCGAATTCCACTGTAAGAGATGCACCTGCTTTGAAAGTACAAGGTTTGGATTAATATTTATTGCAGCCTCGTATTTCTGGCTAACAGGCAAATTCTGTCCGAAAAATAATACAAGTTGATGAGCCGAGGAGTACTTTCGCCACTTTACTTCAGGAAGTCATAACTGTCTTTCCAGTCGATAACTTCCCCATCATATTTTTATTTCGATAGACTTTACTCCATCGTCTGGTATCGTTTAATTTCTTACACGCGTCTTCTCTTCTTAAGATCAGAACATGTTCCTCGCCAGTTACCTTCTACAGTATCTTCCCACGCTGTCCTGCTCGCGAGGACCCCCCGTTCTCACCTGCTGCCCGCGCACCTCCGTCACCGTGAGTTGCCGATCCCTTGGCGCCTGGCGATCGCTTGACAGCCGCTCCGCTCTAAATCATCCGCCGGGCTGGATTGGCGGGGTTAGGCGCAGGGCCAGCGAGCAGAGTCACGCAAGGCCGCGGGATTTCGCGGCATTAACCATGGCCATACATTGTGTGCATTTTGCGCTGTTTTGTAACTTATTTGGAAAGTCCAGTCTCTGGATGAAAGCGTCTAACAAGGAGCCTAGTCAGATGAAGGACAATTCGTGAAGAAGTTCCAACCATTTCCTTACAGAGCCGAACAGGGATTTAAAATGATTAATCCAAAAAGAAAACAAACACATTGACGGAGAAAGCAATCCTCTAACCGATGGACAGAGAAACTGCACAATACAAAAGATAAAGACCGTCAGTCAGTGATTTGTTCCGAACAGATTGAGTCCTTTGGATCAGAACATGAAAACGGCTGAGTGGCAACAGCATAGCAGTTTGATTGAGGGAATAGGCCTATATCACCTGATTTATAAATTCCAACACCTAAATTGGTATTAATCAACGTATTCACCGGCTAAGTTTCTCTAATTTGTCCTGAATATCAGCTGAGATTTTGTTTCCTCTTTACATTTCAGCGCGAACATGTACGGTCTCGCGTATTACAGCTTTCTTTGGTCACACGTCGAAAGGGTGAAGGTATTTTGTATGCCATAAACGCCCTTTGTATTTTTCTCTGAAATGTCACATGTTGATGAGACATTGACACACCACACACACACCACACAAACTCCTTCTTGATCAAAAAGTACTTGCAACCTCCTAACGCAACCCAGCAGTCAGCCCCCCTGTAAACACATGTCGTAACTCATGTCTTGTGTCAGTTCTTTCCGTAATAACTCATCCATCATTCCTGGTACCCTTCAACTTCCTCTGCACGCTGTGTGTTGGACTTCAATTTCACGGCATGCCCTTCCTCAAGAAGGGAAAATGTCAGGGAATGCATCATCCAAGTTTTGAGATTTGAGAGCAAGAAAGAACAAGTGAAAAAAAGTGAAAAACGACAGACTTCCGCAAAGAAAGCTTGACATCTTCAAGGCGAAGGGTGATTCAAGTATACCGGTACTTGTCGGTATACCGACAAGTTATTGGGAAGTAATTTGGCAGGGCTTTGAATTAGTTGTCTACAATTGCTAATGTTTCACAGACGTCAAGACAGTTTACTTTAATTATTAAACTTAGAATGTTTCAAAGCTTCATGACCAAGGTTTCTCAGCTCTTACATTTAGTGACCAAATTGGGATTTTTTTTTATTTGTTACTTTTTTAGAATCGGGGTAGGGTGTTGGTTGAGATGCCGAATCAAGACATACGACGACCAAAGCTAATAAAGAGGTTGATATTGCGGGACGTTATTTCAGTAAGGGAAATGTAAATGAATAACATTTGTGATACAGAATGGGGTTGTAAACCAATCCTAGTTATCAACCTTAAAAGTGTCCTTGTTCACAGGCGATATAAGATACGTCACATATCTTTTCAATTAAGCCGTGCGAAATTAAATGCAACGCCAAATGGAAAGGAAAACGAAATACGTTGTCTTCCTTCGTTCCATCTCTGACAGAGGGCGCTAAAGGTTCAGTTAAACGCGCCCAACTCGGGTGGTGATATCGCTTTCTCACTGCAGATCATGCATACAAGTCTCATTGAATAAGAGGAAAACAAGTAACGTGCATGGTGAACATGAAATTGAACCTCTTCCCCTGCTTTTTGGCAAATTTTCACCAGGCAGGTGATTTTCAACTAACAGCCATGGAGCTAGTTGTTCCTATGATGTAATCATCTTCACGGTTGAAATATAGTGTTGTCCGCACAGTCTAGCCCAAGCGCCATATACAAAAAGTCCACCAGATAAATTCAGTTCACACAACTAAGCTTCCTGCTGATTAAGAGGTGACTCGGGGCGCGGCAGTGGCAAGAGAAACATGCTCAATGGCCCGAAATGATTACGGCGTTATCCCACAAAGTACACAGCAGAATTATTTGTCATCACAATTTCCCGTTTTCGATTAGCAGCACCTGCATTATATGCGGAGCTAGGTGCGTGTTGACTCAAACCTCAGCCCCGTAAGTCGGGCTTCCCGCCCTCGTCTTAACGGTAAAACTTGTGAAGCTTGGGCTCTAAGCAAACGCTGCCTGTTCTCCAAGGGTGTACAGCCAATCACGTTGGATTTATTTTCGGTGTTTTCTTTCTGATTGAAATCCAGACAAAAAGTTAAAACCCGCGCCCAAAAGATTTTCATTCATATCCGAACGGGAATTGAATAATTCATGTTGTTTTCTACGGGAAAATCTTCTTCTCGTTCTAATGCCGATTGCTTAAGGATGTAACCGAAAGAGCAATGTGCTCGAGTTACATTTTCATTTCGCTGGCTGATGCGGGACAGTTTTTTTTTCTTTCTCACACCTTTAGAACACACATGTTTGCTGCCATCTCTCACTAAGACACCCGTGTAGGCCTAAATTGCCCGAGGAGTTTCGCAGCCGAAACAGCCGCGGCAAAACGCCGTTCACAACCTTGAACCCCCAAAATGTCGCAAAACAACAGGCCCACCAGACAGACAGCCCCAGTGGGGCGATATGTCAACGCCAAGCAACCAGCGAGCCGTGGGTGACGTCACCGCCGATACCTCGCTCCTACCAGCCCTTGCCCCATCTGGTCTACCACGGTGATTAATGTTTCCGACCAATGTCAATCTGTGAGGGGGAACCACAAGCACGCCAGGTAAGAAGAATGACAAGGTCACAGTACTTTCCAAGAGCCAATATTTCTTCATTGTCCTTGCCATCAAGTTCGCTACTCGGTAGTAAAAGTTGTACTTTTAGGAGGTTGGTGTTGTAACTTCTAGGTAGTCATGTTGGGTGTGATCTGACGTGCAGTGAGTAATTTTGTCGGTGCACGCGATGATTGGCCCCAGAATGAGGATATTAGTTGTAAGAACTTGATAAATTAGCGGAGAAGAAACGCATTTCACTGGATTGATCACTTTTGTCCCTGGACAGGTATACCGATGGAAGGGATTTGAACGCGCACGAAAGGCATGATTTGACTGGTTCGAAAAAGAGGGGTAAATACTATTCATGTAGGCCTACCGTTTGAAGTGAGAAAGCGAAAACGAATGCGAGTTTGGCATGTCAAATATTTGCGTTGTTCTGGTTCGTTGGTAAATTGGGAGTACACAGGTGACAAAAACTTACACATTGTCATGGCTTTAGACACAAAATCAACTGCACATGTTGATCTATGTACAAGTACATCGAAGTAGCACATGATGTTGTGACATGTTCAATACTAACAGTCGGAATTCCGTTTTGTAAAACCAATGACTGTCAGCCCATCTCTGAGGTTTGAGGTTTGCTGGTGAGGTTGAATTTTTATTTTTTTTTCATATCCCGACTTTAACTTGAAAGAATTAAAAGAGACAAACAGAGATGAGTTTGTCTTGCCGCTAAATGATGGACAGGTTTACCAGTGAAGACATAAACAGAACCCCCGGAAGTTTTGGTTTGAGCAAGGCTCTCAGGGGACGAGTCAGTGGAGTCCGCCTGCGAACATAGTTGCCTAAATGTGCAAGCAATTCTGCCCAG